ACGTAACGAACGTACGTAACGAACGAACGAACGAACGAACGAAGAAACCGAACCGAACGAAGTAGACGACAAAGAGAGAGAGAGAGAGAGAGAGAGAGAGAGAGAGAGAGAGGATTGAGAACAAAAGAGAGAAGAGTGATAGAACTCACAGCCAATTATGTTGCCGAGATGGGGAACGTTGTTAACATATGGAAGGGCGCTTGTAATCATAATATTTCTCATGCCAGGAATCGGAAGCTTAGGTCCACCATTACCAGTAGCATCACCCATGGCTTCTGCTCCTTCTATCTCTAAACTTTTTTTTCAGCCAAGAAACAACAACGATACTACCAAAAAAAGATGCAGAAGCTTTTGCCAGGAGGACAAGCTTTTAAACAGTTTCTCACTCCTCTTTCTCTCTCTAACGTCCACGAAAATTCAGAGCTCTCTCTCTCTCTCTCTCTGTAACAATCTCCGCCACCACCACCGAGAATTTAGAGAGAGTTATGCTAGAAAGCCTAACGAATGGAGGGATCCACTTTTAAGTGAAACTACAAAAATACCCTCCGTCTACCTTGGACTGTTCTTCGTCTCCTTCTATTATTTTTTTTTTTTAATTTATTTATTTTTAACAATGGATGTGGTTTGCATGAGGTGGCAACCTTGAACAATCCAATTAAGGCGCGCCTCTAAATTTTATAATAAATGTAATCTCGATATTAAAATTTTTTTGATAATGGCTTGAAAATCTATTTCTATATTTAATTATAAATTTTAAGCTTTAAAAATGGTTCAAATCAAGCATATTGATAAACACATGAAAATCTTGAAAATGTACTGTTCATATAATGTGTTGCAAGATACACTATTTTACGGACTCGAAATGTTTTTTTCTTTTCATACTTGTACATCTCAATGTCAAGATGATCAAGTAGAGGGTTTTCCAACATCCAAACAACATTTATGATGGATTTTTGAGATGCATCTTTAATTCTACGTTTTAAAGTTGCAACCTTATATAAAATTTTTCCTTTTACAACGTTACTAAATTTCATTAACAAAAGGAGAAAAATTATATAAGGCTCTAAACAATTAAATTATAGTGCACATAAAAAATTTCACTAGAAAAAGTTGTTTTGATGAACAAATATCCTCAAATTGATCATCTAGACATCCAAATGCATGAACATGAGAAAAAAAAAAGGATTTCAAGTTTTGCAAACAATGCAACTTGTGACACATTTTTGAGCCATTAATTTTCAAGAATTGCAAGTTTTCATATATATGCTCGATTTACACTATTTTTTAAGCTTTAAACTTTAAAATTAAATATGAAAATATATTTTAAGGCTATTAGTGCAACCACATTTCTCGACACTATTTAAAGGTGCTTTACTTTGATTGTTTAGAGCCTCAGTTCTATATAAACCGCATCCTTAAATTTTATAATTAGAGGTAAAAATAAATTTTCAGGCCATCATAAAAATTTTTATTATTAAAATAATATCTTTCGACACTATTTAAAAACGTACCTTATTTTGATGGTTTAGGGCCTCGGCCTTATACAAACCACACCCGTAGTAAAATAGTCTATCTCTAAGCTCTCATGGATGAGGAAGCATAGTATCATATGACCATGCACATGGACGGTGATAAAATATAATGGACCGTTAAATCAATAGATGGATGGTGATTAAGAAAGTGCGAACATGAGGAATGTGTAATTTCAAGTTCGTATAATTCACTCTCTTTTAGTTGCCGTCGATCGGTTCATTGAACCGTGACATACATTGGGTAGTGGTTGTATTGATCACAACTTACATCCTTCGAAGGTTAGATAAATGGAACAAGATACACTTGCACCATTTACCTTCGGTACATAAATATCACAATCCCCTCTAGCAATTAGATTTAAAATCGGACGATTTTGGGGATGTAACATAAGTCTCTTGATTTTGCATCACACAACTATGCGTGATGAAAAGTTTTAACAAAGTTTTATATTGGTTGTTCATCCAACACAATTAATTAGGAAAAGACTTTGATGATGATGACAATGAGCTATGAATGACGATGACTTTCTTGTATCAAAGTGAATGGTCCTAATGTTTATAACGCTCATATATATGGAAAATTGTTTCATGAGGGCTGGACTGCATTTCTACATATGCGGTCTAGAAAATGTAAAGCATCCATCTTAAAGATGGATGCAAGTAGGTGTTCTATTTAAAAACAATGGAAACTAACGGTCCAAATGTTTTTTTATTAGAATTATTATTTTTAGTTTTAAAAATGTATTTATTTTTTCATATTCATGTTAAAGATTACGTGTCTTTAAAAATCAAGTCTTAAAATCCATCTCAAAAATAAATTTATTAAGAGGCCTACATTTCTACATATGCGGGCTTGGCCGTATAGAAACCATATCCTAGATATATTGCTCAAGAAAGCATAACTAAAACATTTTATTTACAATAAATGGCCGGAAAGCCATCAAGGGTTTGAAGTCGTAACGTGATGCAGCATTAAATTTTCAACTATTGGTTAGGGTTGGTTGGCAATGAGCAAGATGGGATCAGGCCAACCCTAGCCTGAGATGGGCGTTGGTCCCCATAAGGCCAGCGCCAGCCCAGCATGGATCACATTGGGCCTAAGAGTCCCTACCCTAAGTTAGCCTTGACCTGATCCAAGCCAAGCAAGGCTTAACAAACTCAGATAAATATGAAAAGAAAAATAAGGGGAAAAAAGGGTTGGGTGCCCTGTATGGCTTGGCCCATACCCAGCCTAGCTCGGGCCTCTAGTTGTGGTGGTCTAGCACTATGTGGCCAAGGACCTTATTTTTCAGTACTTAGTCGACTAGTTAGGATCAGACCACCCAGCCTAGTGGATGATGCAGAAACATGATGTAGCTTTCGCCCCAATAAAACTGAACATATCTAAAACCATTATAATGCTCACTTTTAAAAATTATGTGATGCCTCACTATATTTGTTTCTTTGAAAATATATTAATTTACCAATGGGAATTGTTCAAAGTACCCATAGAAAAGGGCTTGGTCTTGAGTCAGGATAGTTTCTATTAGGCAAAATATTAAATACTTTATCTTCAATGGGTCATCATCATCTTCATCATCATCTACGACTTATTTCAACTATTTAGGGTTGGTTATATGAATCATGTTCCACTATATAGGTTCAGGATTCAAGAAAAGATGTGAGGAAGTTTTACGTTGGTTGCTCTACTTAGCATAACCCTCCTCCTTTGTCCCGAGTTGGGACCTGTGTGACTAGCTTGGGATGGGCAATTATGGAATTACTTCATATCTAATTGGTACTTTGATAAAATTTCCTTGTTTCTTTTTATTTCTAGGGTTAGTGCCCATTATATTTGTTATAAGGGTGTAGTTTGCATACGGATGCATCCGTAGGTGTAGAGATAAGTTGCACCTTCAAATTTTGTCACGGTATATAATTTTGATATAAAATGTTCTTAGGATTATCTCAAGAGAAATGATCCTATAGGACCCTTTCCCACTCATGTGTATAGGACCCAAAGGATCATTATTAAATTTGACACGGATCTATAAAAAAGTCACGTCCCACACGCATGTGTTAACTTTTCTAGATATCCATGTCCACTTTAATGGTGATCATTTGGGGTCCTACACATATGGGTGGGGGAGGGTCCTATAGGATCATTCCTCTTATCTCAAAATCTATTTTTATATCCAATTATGAAATTTTAAATTTAAAAAATGGTTAAAATCAAGTAGATATATAAGCATATGAAAATATTGAAAATGGACTGTCTAGATAATATGTTATAAAATGCACTATTTCTGAGACTTAAAATCTTTTTATTTTTCATGTCATACATCTCGACATCGAGATGATCAATCAAAGGGTTTTTCAACATTAAAACTACCTTTTCTGATGGATTTTTGAGGGGCATCCGTAGTTCTACATTATAAAGTAGCATCGTTATATAAATTTTTTCCTTGTATAATGCTTCTAGCCTCTAATTTGAAATTTCTATTGAATATTTAATTAAAATATCATCAATTCATCATCATCTTCGTAGCTTTTTTCCAACTAATTGGGGTCAGCTAATTAATTAAAATATATATCAATAAAATATTTAATCAAAATATATCTAACAAAAATGTTCATTAAAACCTACGTCATTCGTTATACGACTTTCGTAGACATTATTCCGAAAATAACAAATCGTGAAACAGTGTTCTTAAAACTGCATTTTTATTTAACTTTGCATTTTTTGTTCATTATGAACAATGATCCATGCAACATTTTTTAAGACCTATTTTTAAAACTCCAAATGCAAAAGCTAGTACATTTCATGTTCGGCCTGTTTGCATGCTTCATGGGTGCCTGTTAGCAACAGAGCAAAACATTCTTGAACAGTCATATAGCTTGCAATGAGATATGCTTAAGCTAGTATAAGCTTGCTTTAATGCTACCACTGCTCATTATCAAGGATTTTATAGGACTTGCAGCAGCACAGGCCAGCCTGGCCCTAGCCCGGCCCTAGTCTCTACAGGATGGAGCCTGGCCTGGCCTAACCCTGATCGGGTCGAAGAAGCCCTGGCCCCAACCTTGTTAGGACCAGGATGAGCCAATATAATCCAAGAAAAATGAAGAGAAAAGGAATAAGAAAAAGGGCCCAACAAGGCCAGCTCTGTTGTGGCGCTGGCCTAGGTACGACCTTGCCTTTTGTTGCCCTAAGATCGTGGTGGTCTTGCCCTAGACCAGACCTCGGGCCACATCCTTTTTAGGGGTGGGTTGATTGGGCCAAGCCACGTGGCCCATTGCCACCCTAAGGATAAAACTTATCAAGCATTGCTCTCAAATAAGCCACACATGACTTATCGAACATAATTCTTGGCTTACAGGGACACCTAAATGATACAAGTGCTAAAAATGCTAATTTTAAAGTTGATATTTGGACTCTATATCAATTAACTATTTAAATAAAAGAGACAAGTGACATTGAGTATTTTTATAGTGAGATTTTAAAAAAATCAATATTAAAAAGAAATGCTTCTAAAGTGTCACACAAAAATAATATTTCCTTGATTTGTTAAGACCAGCAAAAAGGGAGAAGCTGGGTTTTAGGTGGCATCAATTACTTCTATAGCGAGTAATTTAGGTGATATTAAGAAATTCTAAAAAAAAATAATGGTAAGATTTTACATGACATTAAGTTTTTCTACAATAACCTTCAAAAAGAAATAGTAGTGAGAAGTTTTGCTTCCTTGGCGCTTTGACATATGCAACAAAGTAGAAGTGGAGTTTTAGGTGACCAAATACTTATGTAGTGAGATTTGGGTAATGTTGAGTATTTTTGAGGAAAAAGAGAAGTGAAATTTGATATGACATTAAGTATTTCTACAGTGAGATTTTTTTACAAAAGCGATTTAGTTTCTGATGTATTAGACAAGTGCTCTCTTGATGTGTCAACATGATAAAAAAAACCATAAACTGTGTACTCATTTTGTGTATGCTTGGAATAAGTAC